CCTGACGCGTATAGGAGGGGCCTTCAGGTGTGCGCCACCTCCGGGAGGAGAAGCATCCAGAAGCACAGGCAGGTTCTAGTCCTGACCCCTTTCTGAAAGGCAGGTGGTACAAAACAGCCTGATCAGCAAGACTGCTCAACGGAACGTCACTAGTATGTTGGCAGTTCATTTCAAAAGCCTTCCCCCTCCCCCTATTCCCTATGCCTTTTTATAGTTTTAGAAAAGTTCATTTAAAAAAAGATAAAAATGGATCGTTTGTACAAAGAGCAAGTGGAAGGGGATTATTTTTTCAGTCTTTCATAAAGCAATATTGAAAATATTAAAGGAACAACATCTTTTTCCAAGCATTTCGTTTCCTTTCAAAAGCCTTTTCTGAGGGAAAAATATTTTCACAGATTTTCAGCATATTCTATTAATAGATTTACTCTCTTTTCACCTGGCACTGGGCTGCTAACAGAAGGAATCACCTAATTGGCAAAGAACCATGAGAAACACCTTTCACCCTTTCAAACGGCTTTGACTGCCATTACTCTTTGTAAAATCCACCTTTGATTTTCTTTAAAAATCTAAAGGACACCCATAACAAAGAGGCCACAGATAACACATCTTGGTACATGAAAACTGAAGAATTTAAAAAATGTAATCCATCCTCTGCTAGCACAAGACCCTTCACTGCAATATATGGCATTGCTTACCCTAGACTAGATTTAAAATTCTCCAAGGAAAGGACTCCCACCGCTTCCCTGGAGAGCTTATTCCAGACTAATAGATCTCAATGTCAAGGATTTTTCCTCTGCTGTTCAGCCACAATTCGTTCCTTATTATTTCCTCTCTTACTGCCATTATATTTCCTCACACCATGTGAAATTATTCTCCGTTCCACATTGGAAGTTAGCTGCCTGCAAGCATAAGAGGAATACAAAACTTTCTAGCAGCAAGTTCCTATGCCAGACACTGCTTTTGTCTGTCAAGTAATTATTGTTAAAAGTGAACTGGGGAAAAGGTAAACTCAGCAGCACGCACGGCTTTAGTGTGGAACAAAGTTAACAGGCAATTCAAAATACATCCTTCTTTACAGTTGGCCAGAAACATTAAATTTGAACCAATGCTACTTGTTTAACCTGAACAGTTGATCATATACTTGTGCGGCAAACCAGCATTTACAGACAGCTTAAGGTGTGCACGTGAAAATCAGATTAATACCAGCTAAAGAAAGCGATGTTTCTGCAAATACTTTGCTTTTTAAGTAAAGAGGTCGTAAACATGTTGTATCTTACATGTATTATAAGGCAAATTCAGTCAATTAAAAACCACATTTAAATTATGGGTTGCAACTTCCCTTGGATCCTGTAATATTTTTTCTATGTTGGACTATGGCAGAGTTAAAGTCAGCATTCAGGGATGGCTTGCGAATATCAGCAGCTTTGAATGGAAGACTTTATCCTGCTTTTAAAGTTAGGCAAATAATACATCTTTTCCACATAAGTCACCAATCAAATATATGTTAATTGATTTTTTTTTTTAAAAAAAACACTTATTTTTCTCCAACACTTTAAGCAACTGCACTAGCTATATGACTTCAGAGCTCAAGTTTTTAGGCTTCACATTTAATGATGCCATAAACACTCTTCACAAGGGTTTTACCTTCCTAAAACTTCACAAGCAAACGGAAGGCAGCGTGCCCACTGATTCGAGCTAGGAGACTCAGCATCAGGAACCTATGTTCTACTCCTGATTGTCTTGGTGAATCACTAAGTGACCTCAAAGAAGTCATTTCACCTCTCTTTGCCAATTATACAAGCCGTATAGAACTTAATACCTCCTCTTTCAGTAGGGGAAGCTCAATTCACGAACACCTCCAAAACACCAGAGCGTTCTGGAGAAAGCGTGCCGGCAGAGCACCGCTGCTTACGTTCAGAACGCAAAAAACTGCACCAGAAAAAACCCAGGTGGAACAGTCAAAAGACCAGGTGACAAAGAGCTTGTGAAAATTCCTTCCCGAGTTCTGTTCTCGGTCAAGTCTGTTACTTCGTGTGTATCCATGTGCACGTGTTTCTTTTCACTCCGATTGAACCCAGCCCTAGTCCCAGGAGTCACGCAGCTGTCTGGGTGAGCAGGGAACAACCCTACCGAACGCTCTTCTCCCCTCTGTCCCAACTATGACTGGGAGCTCCCGCCAGCTCCTCGGACCAATGAAGTATCTCACAAAATGCGTGTGATGGTATATTTTTGATAAATCAGTAAGGCATTCCAATGCAATGGTGTTTTCTTTAGAAGCTTTATGTTATGAGAAGCTCTCAACCTTATTATTTTCTATTTTCGTACTATCAATGGGCTTTGCTTACAAACATCAGAGGACAGATACAAAATGTACTGTATACAACTGCAGGTAGCTTCATTTGGGAACAACTTTCTAGAAGAACCAAGTTTCCTGTTGTCTTCTTTTGGAATTGTAGTGCATATGTTGAAACTTGTATATCATTTACAGTATTGAGTCTTGTGCCACTGCTGTACCTGATGTATCCAATCTGGATTAAACAGAGTATGTGCCACAAACACCAAGATGATGCTGTAGATTTCTTCTAAAAAAATTCTGGGAGGTTCTTTTGGAGAACTTGGGGTGTTGGCCTGAGCCACTCGAGTTGCATTAAGTACTAATCGCTCTTGCTAAAGAACCATTAATGAAAAGAGCAAGATGTCTGCAACGTGACAGGAGAGCCGTCATGCAGACACCTAAGGGCATCTCCTACAGCATCCGCCTTTCGAACAAAGTTCATCTTGGAAACAAAAATGTACCTTGGCCTTTTCAATCTACGCAGACAAAACCTAGGCAAACCCCCTCCCTGGGGTAATTCATGAAACAAAGACAGTAAGGCAGGAAAAAAAAGTACAGAAAGATAAATATTTCTCCTAACGAGATATTTAGGATATGTAAAGAGCTCAGCTTATACCTTTCTTTTAAAAGGCAACCTCAGCTTGGCAGCTCTGTTCAGGCCAAAGTCTCCCACTCTGTACTGCAGACAGGGTCAGCTCGTTTCAGCCACAAAACAAGTAGAGCTGCTCTCATCTTAACCGTATCAGAAAGTGTCACTTCGAGGCATTAGTTAAAATTTTCAGAATTCTTTAAGCAGAAATTAAAATTACGTATGAGGCGACCTCTGACACCCACCGACTCCGAGCAGGACAGAACAGTTACAGACCGCCGCTGTCTCTTGCAGTAAAGGCTGACACCCACCAGGGGCCAGCCCTGCCCCAGCTGCGGGAACACCACAGACCAACCCAACCCCCAGGACAGCGGCCTCGCCTGCCCATCTGGGGCTAAATTTCTGTGCCACTCGTGAGCCAAGCCAGTCTTGCAGTTTTCCTGCACAGTGAAGCGAGTCTGAATTGCGTGACAGAACGTTTAGACCCACCACTCCACGAAAAGGTCAGAAGTGCTGCCAGGGACACCACGGGATCTGCACAGGGAATTTTGCAAGAACACTAGGAACACTCAGGTAGCAGCGATTGATGCAAGCTGAGTGAAAACACAGTGGTTTTCTCAACAGGAATTTAAAAGTTGACAAGGGTGAGCAATCAAGCATCCCTGAAGACATCCATTTCACCAAATTAAAGCAGCAAGTCTCCCTGGAAGTACAGTTCATAGGAAACAGGGCTTTTACTAAGAAAACTCTAGTCTTACTCTGCTCAAGAGCGTGGCAAAATACCACAACTAACAGACTATCTGCTTTGGTGAACTTTGAGAAATCAAAGAAACCAGCTGAAGAACTCTGTCTCTATGATCCCAAATACACGAGAGCCAGAGGATGACGTCTCAACATGAGCACAGTCAGCCTAGGGTCACTACCCTGAGCCAGCCAGTCCCCTCATCTTTTCCTGCTTCAGGACAGCTACAGACAAAGCAGGGCAAGCCAAACAGGAAATACCCATTAGTTTTAGTACTAACAGGTAATTTCATTTCTAATTAAAGCCTTCCTGTAAGTGTGGCAAGTCTGATACTGCTGCACCCAGAGGGACAGACCAATTATGACTGCTGCACATTTTCTACATAATTAAGCCATCCTCTACCGCACAGCTTGCCACACACCTAGCTACAGAGGTGTTATTTATACAATGTTAATTAACTGGATTTAAACTGGCAATACAGGCTTTGAGATGCAGGTTTCGCTCCACCACTTAACTGGTATATAATCAGTGCCTGCTGTTTAATAAGAGAATTACAGAAAACGGAATGATCTCCAACTACAAGCAGACCATGTAGTCCTACAGTGAATTATCTTCACCCCAAAGTCACACGGGAGAGAAGCCAAGCAAATAAAACTGGAGCTGGTTTGTATTTTCTCCTTACTAAGATTTCCTATGTGTAAGCAGCTGCCTTTTCTCTTCCTTCCTTTCCTCAGGACTGTAAAGCTCACAACTGAATATCCACCTGTCTTTCACCTCCTTTTATTAACAGCTTGTCACACCATCACTGGAATGCACGTACAACATTGACCGAGACACTGCTCGCTTATGAAAAAGACAACGTTTTCCTTCAGTCTTAACCAATGTCCGTGCTGCCCAGGTTCCTGCAGACCTGCAGTTCTGTTTCCACAGGTCACGTCCACTCCTTGTACCAACCAGCCCGTCCCCGGCAGCAGCGTCATGACATCAATCACCACTTTTCAGCAGTTCCTGAAGATAGACTGAGTTGACATGATAGGCACTCATCCAGTTAAACTGTCTGTAACTTCTCCTGTAGTGGGACACCGCAGCGTAGTAGTTTTGCCAGGCTTGGTAGTAAGATTTCCAGTAGTTTGGGTAACTCCAAGCCTCATGCGGAACACCGTCATCGCAGGAGCTGCGGGAGCAGTCGTCTTCCGTTTTTCTCACGGAAGGGCTAGGGAATTGATGGCAACAGCTTTTCTTTGGTTTAGCATTTTGGTTCAGAACTTTCTTTTTCACTTGATTTTGCTTTGGGACTTGTGAGAGCTCCCGAGGCTTCTCCGGTGCAGGACAGAAGCCTGCACGACCCTGATGCACCGTGGGGACAGCATCCTTCTCCGGTGTATCTGAAAACGCTTCAAAGCAGGAGTCATTTTCCCTCCTGCTGGAGGAAGCCCTGGAACTGCACGAACTGTCACTGTCACCAGAAATGCCACCGTTTGCTAGCGTCTCTGTATTATGTCCCACCTCTTTCCACTCTACACCACCATTTCTGGGGAGCTCACATTGTTCTCCTGGGCCCGAATAGCTTCTTAAAATTTCCACCTCTCTCTCCAACCCTTCTTTAATGAAATACTCATAGTCTTCAACAAACTCTGAGAAGCTCCAGGGATTGTTTGGTTGGTTTTTGAAAGATGACAAGCATGGAATTCTGGGAAGATTTCTTTTTAAGGCCTCCTCATCTGGAGCCTGAGCGTTATGTTGTCCATCCCTTTTGGAGACAGTTTTGACTTGATTCCTCTGTTCCGTGCAGCAGCCAGAAGTCTGGGGCTTTCTGCTGCTTTTTTCTGTATTTGCAGAATTCCTGCATTTAATCTGCTTTTGCTTCAGAGCCTTTTTTGGCCTTTCTACAGAAGAATTATCACCTGGAAGACTAGGAAGCGGCCGAGGTACCTCTGAAAAACTACATTGGTCAGGCTTCGGTACTGGCTCCTCTGGTCTAAGACACACAGTGTCAGACTTCACTGAAGCACCCGTATGTGTCACAGGTCTGACTTCCACCTCCCCATCTTCAAACTGATCCATCATTCCAGGAGGTATAGGCTCTGCACAAAAGGGAAACAAGCAGGCGCTCAATTAAGTGCATCCTTCCCTCCAGAACTCAAACGAGTATGAAAGCAAAACTTTGCAAAATCGCAGAAAAGCTGTTCAGACACGTCAAGTTAGGGCTACAAACTGATCCCTTCAATTCTTGAAAGAGCACAAATAGCCAGAACATTTTCTTCATGGAGGGCACCAAAAAGTTGATCAAGACAAACAGCACTGCACTACCTGTCACTTATTTTTCATATCCTACCTAACCAGATAAAAAATTACAACTTAGGCAAGAAGGCAAACACTACATTTCTAGCAGAACAGCTTCTGGCAAAGCAAAGGTAGCAAGTCTTCTGCTGTTTCAATTATTCCTTCCTTCTCCTACTGTATCTTACACCCTGAGAAAGGCTTCATGCTAGCTTCCTGGAAATCCAAGTAGTTATGTAGTTGCTTAAGCAACAGCCACAGGCAGAGCTCCTCTCCCTGTCCACAGGCAGGCACTACATTCACTCTCTATGGCTTTGCCCAGCTGCAGCAGTCACACCAGTAGTCATCAGCACGTGAAAACCTGAACCAGGTGACTGCAGCTTCAGCAGACACACACACCAGTTCCCTGCAGACTTGTCAGAAGCCTTCAACAAACAGAAAACACCAAACAAAAGCACAGCTGCATTCGTAGGACAGAGCATACCTGGCAGAGGAAGCAGCTGGAGATTACACCTCTGAGCAATCTTCATCATCATGTTTTCTTCCTCTCCACGGCAGCAGTACGTCACAGACAACCCCAAAGTCCCTGTGATGCACAAGAAAAGCGTTAACTACCCAACCAGAGCCAGCGAAGCCGGTGCAAGCCCAAGAAATCCACGTGAATGCTTTTACCAAAGCGCCCGGCTCGGCCAATACGATGCATGTACGTTTCCCAGTCTCCGGGGACATCCAGGTTGACAACCAGATTCACTTTTTCTGCATCGATTCCACGAGATGTCTTGGGAAAATGAGAAGGAGAGAAGGGGATAGATGATGGAATCGGCTGGACAGATCTTCAAACAAATACAACACACTTGGGAGTAACTGCTCACACAGCAACTTCTAGTTGTTACCACACACCATAAAGCATTTCCATAATCTTTTCATGACAGGACCTCAATCAACCAACTGAAAAGTACCCGACCGCAAAAGAGCTGAGAGCGCCCGAAACCCAACTACTGCTCCAGTCAAAGCTGCTTGCAATGTCACTGCTGGGAGCGTTCCATACCAGAGACACAAACTGTTCCTCCCCAGCTCCTATCCGGAGTAAGCAACTACTCCTCTGAGACACCGTGACCTTCTGCAAAGCAACAGAGAAATCAAATCTACTTCTGAACCGCAGGAGGAACAGGGACAACCACCGAGTTCCACAGTGAACGTAAGCCGCACAGCGCTCGGGTCACGTGCTTCGTCAGGATGTTCACGGTCTATTCGATTCCAAGCCAAGTCTAATGCTCTGAAGTAACTTTACGTGCAATCCTCAGGTAGGCTATAAAACACCAACTCACCAAGTCTGTGGAAATCAGAACTCTACAGTGGAACTGCTTTAATTTAGCCATAGCATCAAGTCGTTGATTTTGATTCATGCTGCCTAGAACGACAGAAATTAGAAACAGATTATGTTCTTCAGTTTTATGCCCCTCAAGTTCTGGAAAATACTACTTTGTAGAACTGCAGGTGAGATCAGAAATAAGGTCAAGAGAAACTTCCTCAAACATCACATCCAACCGAGTAAACAAGGAACAAAAAAACTTGAAAATAAGGAAATCCATTTAAAAATTATTCTTTTGCTTGTTTTTAACGAGAAACCAATGATGTACACACTTAACTTCACCCACTCGACCAACGCTGACTTTAGACAAATTTTACATAAACACGTAAGCTGCGGAAAACACAAAAGTAAAGTAAAAATTCAAGGTTCCTAATAAACATTAGGTGCCAGCTATTAGGTTTTTACAGACAAGTTAGAAATAAAAAAAAATATTTGAATTCAACTTCTGCATTCCCAAAGAAACTCTGCTTCGACCTGCAAATGTAAGTAAACTTTCTCTTTACACATAAGCCAATGTGCTCATCTGGACATCCATGAGAATGGCTCTCAAATCTGAAAACAAGAAAGTTAAATATTCCATTAATTAAGCCCTAAAAGCCCATGAAGATTCAAATGATATTCTTAAGTTATTTACCCAAAGGACATGCAAACCAAGATTTAAGACTAATTTTCCTATAATAGGTCACATTTATGCACAACAGAGTCAGAAAGTTTTGAATGGACTCACCCGAAATGCACTCGGCAGGAAAGCCTCTGGATGTCAGTATTTCAGCCAGATGTTGAGCCCTGACAGAACACACAGAGAACTGTAAGTGAACACACAGACCTAACAGCAGGCCAAGGCCTACATTCCCAAACAGTCCCTTTCACCTTTAGGTCTAGAACAGCCACTTTCCAGATGGAGAAGGACAACAGGGTACCAGGTCTCACTGTACCCTGAACAGCGTAGGAGGTACCTTCAGGCTAAAGCATGCCATGACTGGACATCGCAACCCCTGCTTTCAAACACACTAGTTACAGATTTTACTTCAAATTCATTACCTGCTATGCAAATTTGAGAAGACTAAGGCTTGATTAAACGGAATCTTGCTGAACAACTCCTGTAGGTGCTGGGTTTTTTCCTCAAATGTTTTATGCGGAAGCGGATGGGAATTCACAATTTTGTAATACTGCTTCAGCCCTGAGCACGAAACCAAAAACCTGTCAGATCAAGGGTTTCCATAAAAGCACACACAGCGCTATGCTGCTGTCCACACGTGGCACTGCAGCTAAAACAAAGACTTCAGGCACACACACGCGGCAAATAAGAACGTACAGGGCACGTTTTTCTTAAAATACTGAAGTATTTCTTAGCAACAGCAGAAAAACACAGAAAGTCACATTCATCACTGATGCTTCAAACACATCAGCACTGGGAATAAGTAATTCATAAGCTTATCGACCCACCTGTGGAGGGAAGTTACGAAGAATCACCAATTTTCAAGGTACATGGTTTGGTTTTAGCATGCTCTCTTAATCTATCAGTAACAGTATCATTATGAATGAACTCCTACTTACCAAGGAGGCTTGGATCAGTAGGGTTCAACCTCACAAATGTCGGCTCTCTCATGTACCTGGTCAAAGCATTAGCTAATGATTCAGGATAAGTAGCTGAAACAGCCAGCATCTGCTTATTGGCTGGTAGTGAAGAGTAAATCCAACTGCGAGACAAAGAAATGGGGATGACTAACAAATATGCATCTAATCTACCCATAAATGCATGAGAGAAACATTTTTCTTACTTGATTTGCTCCTGAAAGCTGCCTTCTTCTAGAAGCTTGTCCGCTTCATCAAGAATGAAAAGCCGGATACTAGCTGTATTCAAGTAGTCCAACTCTATGAGCTGCTTTATTCGACCTACAAATGAAGCAAAAAGTAAAAGCAACTTCAAAAACATTGAGATGTTTTAGATTTTGTCATTTTTTTAAAAAAGTCATTTTAATAAGCCTTAAAAAAAGCATATTTGAAATAATCATTCACTGAAGTACTTGGTCTAAATATCTCTGACACTGCCCTTTCAGACTATACCCTATCACGAAAAAAAACAAAACCCAACAAAACCAACAACCCAGATTTCATTCCCACCAATTATTGTGCTGTGAAGTACCACGCAGTATCTGAAGCACAGTGAAGCGCATCCCTACCTGGAGAGCCAACCGCTATGTGGCACTTCTTCAGCCGGCTTTTGTCCTGGTTCAAAGGAGTCCCTCCAATGAAGACGTGGCATTCCAAGCCTTCCATTTTTATTCCTATAGTTGTGATCACAGCATGAATCTGCACAGCAATCTCTCGCGTAGGAGCCAAGATCAGAATCTGTAAGGGCCAAGGATTAAATCTGAAAGCTGCAGAACGATTCTGAAGATTAAAGCCCAGCGTCCAGTTGCTGTGACTGCAAACACTATGTCTCAGAGGCGACAATGTCGTTTCCCCCCCCTAAAAAAAGAGCGATTCCCTCTCACACAGCAAAGCCCCCCGCCCAGCAGCAACCCGGGGCCGGGGCTCACCTGCGTGGCGGGGCTCTCCAGCAGCACCGCGTCCAGGGCGATGGTGGAGAACACGCAGGTTTTCCCAGTGCCAG